CTCCTCCTCCTCCTCCTCCTCCTCCTCCTCTCCACACACCCCACTCCCTTCTAGCACTGATAATATTCCCTAGTTGGATCATGAAACGTCTGCAAGAAAACAACCAAGCTCAGAGAGCACCAAGGACCCCACAGTCATCTTCCTCCTCCTCCTCCTCTCCTCCTCCTCCTCCTCCTCCTCCTCCTCCTCCTCCTCCTCTCCACAAACCCCACTCCCTTCTAGCACTGATAATGTTCCCTAGTTGGGTCATGAAACATCTGCAAGACAACAACCAAGTTCAGGGGGGGAAGTAGGACCCTACCCTTCCCTTGGTTCCTGGATTCACTAACGTTAGGTTCTCATGAGCCACACACTCACCAAATCAGGCTAAGTTAGACCCTCTCCTGCAAAGCCACAAAAGCCCAAGCTGAGAAGTTAAGACTTAACAAGAGTAATAATATATTGTGTGTCCAAACGGTCAGTGGGCCTTTCCCTGGGCTAATGAAAAGTGTGTAGAGAACCCCACCAACGAACAGGATGAGCAGAGGGACGCAGCTTCTTTTACCTGTATGTACAGTTGCTGCCGTTGGACCCCTAAGGGCTGATTGTGAGCCATGCTGAGTCCAAGCAGAGATGGGCTTCTCGGGCTTGGGCTGTCCAATGGTTAGAGCACCTGTTTCGAGGGGGGTGGGGAGAAAAGACATGCATTACAACGAAGTCCCATTGCTTCCACCCATGTCACACCTGGACGGGGACAGGCAGAAGGTCACCTGGACAACAGGCTCTCTTGCGGTCCTGCGGGGAGTCGGCCAGCATCAGCTCATCCCCATCGGGGTTCTCGATGAGCATAGCTGTGTAGGGGGTCACGATGTGGTGATCCAGCGACATCTGCAGAATGGCCTTGGTGATGTTCCTTTTCATGGCAGCAGAAGGAGCCACGTTTCTGGGTGACATTCAAAGACAAAGGCAAAGGGCCATTTAACGACTGCCTGGCTCACTCAACAACTCTAGTGGGGACGGAGCTGACATCGTGGCAAGACGATGGGCAATTTGGGAGCTCCCGAAAAGCCGTCAATATCCCGGCAGCTGGACGGTCCATCTGGACCTAAATCGTCCCATAGAGACGAGAAACAAGGAAAACACATTCTGTGGATTCCAGGGACACCCCAAAGTCCCCGGTTGATTTGGAGAAAGCTTAGCAATGCAAATTGTAGTCCCAACTGAAATTAGAAAGGATAGAAAATATTTGTAGGTCGGGTGATAGATCTTGGCGGTGGTTCGTTCTCCAGGTTTGCTGTTTAGCTTCCAAATGTTTCATCCCCAGGTTAGGTGATCCTCAGTGGGACTTTGGTTAAAGAGTCATATTTCAGTTTTTCTACGCTTTTATCGATCTCATGTAGTCCTTTAGGTCAGTGGCCCCCAACCTTTTTTGTGCCACGGCCCGGTACCGGCATCACAAAATGATCCGCGGCCCGGTACCGGCATCAGCACGCATGACAAGGCAAGGCGAGCCAAGCGACCGGCCAGCCAGCTGTCCCCCGCCACCTTCAACTCCTCCTTTGTACCTTTTTTGTGCTTTCTTAATCTCCTCCGCCATCGGGACATCTCTTTGTTCAAAGCCGCCCCCCCTTCTATGAAACTAAGGCGCGAGGATTCCTTCAGAACCCAAATGCCGCTTTCCAACCGGAAAAGCTCACCCAGAAGCACTTTCTCGTCGAAACAAAATGGCGGTGCCCAGCAAACCGGCGGCCCGATAGAAAATGATCCACGGACCGGTACCGGTCCGGGGCCCGGTGGTTGGGGACCCCTGCTTTAGGTGGTGGGTTGTGTGACTGGCTGGTCATGCCATGTGGCAGGTTGTGTGACTGGCTGGTCTGATCATCGAAGCTTGGCATTCTACCAATGGATTGATCAACAAACAGGTCAATTTGGAGCCAGGCTACGAACCCATAAGGACTTGCTTAAAGAATGCAAAGGACCAGCTGTCTGCAAGAAATATCAATCCTTCCATTCCCCACCATCCAGTCAGAGCTGAAGAAGCCTCTTGGATGAGAAGTGAAATGTCTTCAAAGAAAAACCAGAAAGTCCAGTTGCCTCTTGAGTGGAAAAAAAGCACCTTTTTTTCCCCATGACCTGGATGCTTCACTTGGTGACCTTCACACGACATCATCAGCCAGTCAATGGCATGTTCCACGACGTGACCAGCTTTGCATATGGTCATTATCCTTTGTGTCTGACATTAATCGAGCCAACTAAAGCCATCAGTTTAGAACAAGGATCTCCAAACTGGGAAATATTAAGACTTGTGGACCAAGTAGGGTTGAAGCCAAGGTAGGATACCCCTTCAGTAAGAGGACAATCGTGAAAGGATATGCCTATTTTGGTCTTTTCTCTTCCTATGTGGGGAACTGAAGCTGCCAACGTTTCAGAAAAATGTGGAAAAGCATATCCAGGATGATATCTCTTTGTTCTGTCTCAGAATCAGCTTTGATGTGGACTATGATTTTCTGAAGAGATTGGTGGCTGAAAAGTTCGGAAGCTAAATAAAAAGCCCAGAGAACAAACCATCACCACCAAAAACTGTGGTTGTAAGTCAACGACTGTCTATATCTCTTGATTGTTGCCCTTTACTTTCTCTTCTATTTCTTCCCCAGCCTCTATTCTCACAATTCTTCTTGATCCCCTGACTGCAATAATACAATACCTGCTGTAGGATTGTGCCATCACCCGTCATATCCAGGCAGATAGGTTTCTGCATCTTCAGGATGAGTTCTAGCTGGCAATCCTTATCACTTCCTTGGCTTGGCACAAAGTTTCCGCTGCCTTCTTCTAAGGTATTACTTTGATTTCCCAATCCTTGGATTTCCTTGTGGTCTTCCATCTACATCTGACCTTGCTTACCTTTTACGGACCAACAGGATTGGCTAAAGAGTGCTATCTAATTAGGCGATACCTTGAATTATAAACTATGGGATGGGATAAGTTTATACAACCTAGTAAATCATGTAAAAAAAACCAACCGAGTTTAATACTAGCCAGGTTTTGGACAGTCTATATTTGCTTGTGAACTGGATCAGGATAGTGTATAAACTCAGGCAGTGGTTAAAAATAACCATGTTCCTCCAGTCCCAAAGGTGCTTTTTCAAGAGGCAACTGGACTTTGTGGTTTTTCTTTGAAGATGTTTTGCTTCTCATCCAAGAAGCTTCTTCAGCTCTAACTGGATAGTGGCAAGTCATTAAAGTCCCCTGGAGAATTTTGACATAAATTGAACAGCCCTCTCTCAACAGAAGGGGAGGATACCACATCATCTACCTCCAGTCTATAATACAGTTCTTTCCAAGTTCCAAGAAGGCTCCACACCCATTTGGACACAGATAAACCTCCAAGTGGCCTCAATGACCCTCTAAAAGGATGCAAATGAACAGCTGTCTGCAAGGAGTATAAATCCTTCCATTCCCCACCGTCCAGTCAGAGCTGAAGAAGCTTCTTGGATGAGAAGCGAAACGTCTTCAAAGAAAAACCAGAAAGTCCAGTTGCCTCTTGAAAAAAGCACCTTTGGGACAACCATGACCTGGATGACTGACCATCTCCATAGACATGTCCTACCAGGTTCCTTCTAACCAACCCGTCTTCCCTTCTCACCTTTCCGCCATGAGTTGGTTGACAGTCAGGTAGGCCCACAACTTTTCCGTGAATTTGGGATCAGCGTGCTTATCCTTGTCCAGGAACTCATCCAATCCTTCAACATTTGCCAGAGTGTCCAAGATTAACTGCGTGTTGGACTGATTGACAAAAGAAAACCAGAGAAATAAGAGAAATCATTTAGCAAAGCCAACTTCAATATTTCAGGCTTCTCACAGTCCACTAAAATGGTCACAGGTAGTCCTCGACTGACCAATCACAATTGAGCCCAAACATTGCTGTTGTCATGCGAGACAATTGTTAAGTGAGTTTTGACCCATTTTACGACCTTTCCTGCTGCCGTTGTTAAGTGAATCTCACAGTTGTTAAGTGAATCTGGCTTCCCCATTGACTTTGTTTGTCAGAAGGTCACAAAAGGGGGTCGCATGACCCTGGGACCCTGCAACCGTCATAGAGACATGCCAGTGGCCAAGCGCCTGAATTTTGATCACGTGACCATGGGGATGCTGCAACGGTCATAAGTGCGAAAAATGGTCATAAGTCAGTTTTTCAGTGTCATTGTAAATTTGAACTTTGAAGTGTAGAGGACAACTTGAACTTCCGTAGGCTTTCCTGGACTCTCTCATCCAAGTTCTAACCTTGCTTAACATTTCATGATTAGACAAGACAAACTTTTTTCTGTCGCCTAGGTGGGCTCTCTTAGCTAGAGGAAAAATACCAGGAGAAGGACATACTGTACAATCAATCAATCAATCATAATAGAGATGGGACCTTGGAGGTCTTCTAGTCCAGCCCCCTGCTTAATCAGGAAACCCTATAACATTTCAGACAGGTGGCTGTACAGTCTCTTCTTTAAAACCTCCAGTGATGAAGCACTCACAACTTCTGAAGGCAAACTGTTCCACTGGTTCATTGTTCTCACCATTAGGAAATTTCTCCGTTGTTCCAAGTTGCTTCTCTCCTTGATTAGTTTCCATCCGTCACTTCTTGTCTTTCCTTGTGGAACTTTGGAGAATAATTTGACCCCCCTCTTCTTTGTGGCAGCCCCTCAAATATTGGAATACTGCTATCATGTCACCCCTGGTTCTTCTTTTCTCTAGACCGGCCAAACCCAAACCCTGCAACCATTCTTCATATTACATACAATTTTCCTTCAGTTCAGAAAACTTCCAATTTCTTTATAAAAGTTTGAGCAACTTGCCACCTCTTCACAAGCTCATCATTTTTGGTTATACTATCAGTGTGGACTTACCGCTGTGGCTGTCACCACGCTCTGTAAATGCTGTACATTTTCAGTGTCAACTTTTCCTGACACCACAATCTCTGACCCTTTAAAATAATGTTGGAAGGCGCTCTGGGTTACATCAGACACCAAGCCTTTAGGATAGTTGAAGTCCAGTTTTTTGAGAAGTGGAGTAGAAACCTGGTTGTAGAATTTCTGCAAATTCAGGGGGGGGAAAGGGGGTAGACGTTTACTTTTGTGCCCGATGTGTGATATACACTTGTGTCCGATGTGTGATATACATCCCCTGTTGAGCACAGGTGTGAAGGGCACAGATACATCCCATTTCCGAAGGATCATAAATAATCCATTCACAATAAAAATAAGAGTGAAAAAAGTAGAGCAAGTTTGAAGTAGAAACCAGGAGATGGTAAGTTCTAGTCCCACCTTAGACATGAAAACCAGATGGGTGACTTTGACTCAGTCATCAGGAGGCATTGATTTCTAGTCCAACCTTAAGCACAAAAGCCAGCTGGGTGACGCTTGGCCAATCACCAGGAGACTGTGAATTCTAGT